GTGTGTGTGTGTGTGTGTGTGTGTGTGTATGTGTGAGTGTGGAGAGCCAGAGAGACAGATAGAGATAGTGAAAAACAGAAAGAAAGAGCTCAGATATGGCAAAACTGTAATGATTCGTGAATTTAAGTGAAAAGTACATCTGCGTTCATTTAACTCTTCTTTCAACTCTTTCGAAGGTTTGAAATTTTTCAAAATAAAAAGTTGAAAAATTAAATTCCCTCTTACCTGCCTGTTCTGCAATGAGTCAAATGAGGGTACTGGAATGGGTAGAGGGAGACAGATAAAAGGGGGTTTGTGAGGAAAAGAAAACTGAAAAAAGGAAGGTTTAAGTACATGAGGGAGGGGCAAAGAGCATGATTCTAGTTTATTGGGATAATTTAACAGTGATAGCTGTAACAACTTCCAAATCCCCATGGCTTAGCACAATAAAAGTTTATTGCTCGTTCCAGTCACTGTTCTAGTTGAGAAAACTGACTCAGAGAGGCAAAGTAACCTGTCTAAAAGCCAAAACAGCTGACAAATCAGAATTCCCACCCAGTTCTGGTCCCAAAGCCCGTGTTCATTGCACTATGTCACACTGCTTCTGAGAGAAGGGACTTGCCAATAGTATCCTGAAATTAGAATGAGACTCTCCTAGGCTCCAATCTACCATTCTACACATGCTCCATTATTGGACCCATCTACCACCTAAGGGCAGCCGGAGGGCCCTAACGAGACCCCATTTTAGGGTTCAAACCATTCCTTCATTTGTTCTACAAATATCATTTAAATACCTCTTATGTCCTAAGCACAATCCTAGGGTACAATGGTGAACAAGGCAGACAAAGTCCCTGCTCCTTGAAGCTTACCTTCTAGAGTGGGAAAGAGACAATAAGAAGAAAGTAAAGGAGTAATTAAGAGATAGGGAATGGCAGGGATGGGAGGATCATGTGGATAAGGATTCAGGGAACTCCTCTCTTGCACTTTTGGTTGGAATCCTGAAAGATTCAAAGACCTGAGAAAAGTGTATTCTAAGCTGGGGAACAGCTAGTTTAAGGGCCATGGGCCTGTGATGAGCTAGGGGTAACAGAGGGACATCGAGGCAGGTGTGTCTGGAGGGGGAGAGAAAGGTAGAAACAGGGGGTGGGCACCAGGTTGAGCAAGAAGCAAACCAATGGGTTTAGAGCAGGGGGATGATGTGATCAGATTTCCATTTTTAGAAGACCTTCTGGGCAGAATCCTGTGCGGAGAATGCAGCCCCCAGATGAGAATTGTTGGTGGCCTCATGACAGCAGTAGGGATGGAGAAGTGGTCCGACGGGAGATGTATTTGGAAGGCAGACATGGTGGGATTTGCTTGTGGATGTAGGGTATGGAGGAAAAAGGAAGATATCATTTAGGTTTGGGGCCCAGGAAACACCCCGACCTGCCCA